AACATGTTTCTGGCTGGAAGTAGTTAATAAGGATAATTGACAGTGTCGAGGGGTAGCTTCTGTTACTGTAGGAGACGCTCTCGGCATGGCAACACCGTTATTCTTAATTTCTGCAATTGCAGGTAATGCAGCGGAAGGTTCTTTCTGTTTGTTAATGCCCTGTGGGGGCTGGTAAGGTTTGGGTACAGCAGGCTTAGGGTCCTTAGGGACTGGGCCACCAAATTTGGCCTTTCTTCGCCTAGGCGTGGGCTTAACAAAATCTGTTGATGGAGCAAGGGGTGGGTTTGGGATGGTAATATCCATTGGCATAGTGTGTTCTGAGGACTCCGTAGTTTGTGTCGAGTTTCCCGCCAATGTGGGGTCAATTACCATATTTGAGTTTAACAAATCTGTTTCATCTTCCATTATCTCAGCCATCACAGCAAAACGGTTGCTCCTTGATTCATGGGAACTAGAATTGGCAACAATCTTAGGGGCCGAGGATTGCGCCTGATTCTTAGTAACAAGATTTTGGGAAATCTGAACTGTCGTGGGGGTAGCAGCCTTGCCTGCCGATTGCTCGACGGGACGTGGGCGTGGCTGTTGCCGTCGTGCCTTCCTTTGTTGGACCATCCATGGGCCAAAAGTCATGTCGTTGTCTTCCGGATTCGATTTCAAAGTCTGAGTTAACTCAATCATGGCCTTTGAGCTGGGGTTGTTGACAGTGGAGGCTTTCCCAGGATTCTTAAAGCGACAATAGTCTTCCGTGTGTCCAAATTCACCACAATGGAAACAGATTTTATGTAAACCTTCAAATTCAACCGGGATGAGGGACTGAGGTAACTCTTCTAAGTCTAGATCCACAGATGATGGGAGTGGTTGGCTGAGGTCAACTTCAATGCAGACGCATGCAAATTTTCCTCTAGTAGCAAGGAGGGTTGTAGGATCGACTTTGATCGGTTTCCCAATTTTACTACCCTGATAGAGACAAATAGCTTCATGGAAGCAAACTATTGGAACACCATGTAGTTTAGCCCACACAGCTGTTTTGGGGGCTTTCGCTCTTGCCGGATGAAAACTGGGTTCCCAAGGTTGCACTGCCAAATAATGATCGAAAATATTATATGGCCCTCCTGTTAAAACCATAGCACAATCTTGCGGAGAAGAAAATTTGACAATATAATAGCCCAAACCCACATCAATGACTTCAAACTCACTCTCTGTTCGCCATTCTTTCATCAACCGAGAGTGTAAAACATGGAAGTTGACAGATTTCCCTAGCAGTTTGATAATTACTGCGTTCTTCCAGGGGGCACATAGATGCTGCCATATTGATTTAGGAATTCGAACTTTAGGGACTTTCGGTTTAAGAGGGTAAGTCCCATCTTCTGCCATAGGAGTGGACGATTCTTGATCCAGGTTTGCAGCAACCAATTCTTCATAGGTGACGAGGGGGGGTTCCATTGACGCACTGCCATCCACTAGCGTATCTCTGAAAGATTTGGCCGGCGGTACTGGGCTAAGGCTGGGTTGGGGTGGCACCGGTTGCGGTGTGACCGGATCTGATTCAGATGATGGTGATATGAGGGCGAGTAAGTCTGGCGGTGGAGGAGGGGAGGGGGGCATTGGGTCCGTCGGAGGAGGTGACCAATGTAGTATATGTTGCTATTAGGCTTCGTCTGTTTGTACATTGCAAGTATTAGTAATTACTAATTTTAAACTAAAAGAACAACATAAACGGAGGGATTGGGCCAACATAAAAAGGCATTCAACTTAGATTCATAAAGGAGGTTATTTACAAAAGCTGTTTTAAACTGCATCCATGATTCCATACCCTGGCAAAGGAAGGTGCAAATAAAAATGCAAAACTAGATACTTTAGATTTCCCATTAAAGCATAGAAATTGCCCAAGCATAAGAAAGAATGAGATAGTCCAAGGAAGACTGAAGGCTAGCTATGAAGAAGGAGAAGACACTTCACTCTGCTAAAATTAAACTTTCTTGAAGAATGATGATTTTGCCTTGCTTGGGATCCTTTCCTTTCCCTGCGTTGTTGTTTCCCTCGTTTGCTTCCCACTTAGATTATGTTGGGTTAGGCCTATCCCTCATATATGGAGAAATGGCCAATATTTGTGGACTAAGCCCACACTTGTTAAGCCCACTTGAAGCCACATTTTGCAGCCCTTTAAGACAAAGAAAGAAGTCTGATTTGATAGCAGAAAGTAGAGAATACGTGAGGGACCAGCCAGTAGAAAAGGGAAAGAAAGCAGGGGAGAATTCTGGAGATTTGGTACAGTGTGCAGTTTTGCAACTTTGTCTGATCTGTAAAAGTTCATCGTTGGATTGAGCTAAACTTTGATTTGAGGGTTCACTGATCTACATTTTGAACGGTCAGTTTTTCGTTTAGAGCTCTATAGGTTCAGTTTTCGTGTCCTAAACAGTAGCTCGTGTTTTGGTGCTCTGTTTTCTTGTGATCCTTTTATTTTGTTGGTTTGTGGCCTATTATTCCTCTTATTTGGTGCTATTTTTGTGCCTTTTTAGAAGAGGATATTGTGTACTCATGGTTATCATAATAGAGCTATTTTTGTGGATTGGATGTCTCATGGTTTTTACTCATTTTTTGGATTTTCCACGTAAAAATAGTCTCCTGTGTGTAGTTACTTTGCCTTGGCTATTTTTACTGTTCTGCATATTTTTTAACTGCTGCCATAATTTATTTGGACTCAATTTAGCTTGCTTCTAACAATTTCAAATAGATTGGGGAAAATTTTGGTGTTACTTTTGTTTCACCTGTGCGCAGGTGACACCCCGTTCTTCCAAATAGATTAGGAGTAAGCTTCCAACTACATGAGATTTATTGGCTGTAAAAGGCCTACAATGAAAGACCAAGATGTTATGAGTGCGGTTGTATTATGGTATCCCTAGCAATTACTTGAATTAGGAAAAGGCAAAAAAGATGGTCAGGACACTCCATGGTTGTAATGCCAAAATGAATTAATGAAGGTCATTGAAGGAGCAATTTTTTTTAATCCCCTATCAAGGCTATTTATGTTGCAATAATCACTTTTAGAAGATTTGAGATTTATAAATGGAGTTTGTCTTCTCATAGTTTTGAAAACGACAAAAAGAAACAAATCCACCTAACTCATACAATTAAAGCTAGAAAACAGAATCTAGAACTAATTTAATCAATTGACAAAATTCAAGACATAGTAACTCACCTTAGTTTCAGAAGCAGAGGTTTTGCTTCCTCAACAAAATTATTGTCAATGCGTAGGACTTAAAGCATCCATTTGATGAAGAATACATTCGTCTATATGCCTACATTTTGCAAATGTTGCACACAAGTTAAAAAATCTTTAACCAAAAAAACATTAGAAATTAATGGTGGTCAAGCATGGGATTTGAGTGAACTAACAAAACATGTGCCTCTACAAGACTTGCATCTTCCTCTTCCCCATTTCGTCATACCTACATCATAAATCCCCAATCAAATGAAACAAGAAGGAAAATGATGTTGATCAAACCAAAACAAAAATCATTCAAAAGTTTACAAACCATCATCAATTGTTCCTTTTTAGTATCACTACTAGCATCAGTGCATCTTGCTCATTTTAAATGCTTAAACCCTGAATTTCAAATGACAAGCAACAAAATAACTTCAATTGGGCTTCTAAGAAAATTCACAACATGACACGAAAATTTGCAGAGGGTAACAAAATCAAATATATGCTTCACCTGGAAACCAAATCAATGGAAACTTCCTAGTCCTTCCTCTCAGTTTTTATGTATTACTGCTTCTGTCCAATCAGAATCTATCCTGCTTGTAATAATTCAATCCAATGTTAGAAGCCAAATGCTTAAGCCATCTAATGTTTACAGTATCTCAGTTAGGCTACCTTATTTGAGGCATCCAATTCTTACCTCAATCACCATCATATACACCAAAGAAGAAAGTAGTTGCACCCAAATCAGGATATGAAGCATGCTACGACAGCAAATGATACAACTCATTAAAACATATCTCTAATAGGGAATTAAAGATGTAAGTATTTTTGAAAACAAAAGCATCCGGATATTTAAGCTCATTGAGAGAACAAAAGATTTAATTCATTACTCATAGCATCCTCCACGAGCGCGTGCCATCCTTGAATGGACGATGACTTTGAGCCTGATTGAGCCAACTCTATTTTGTTGAGTGGTGAAACCACATTGCCTTGAGCATAATTATTCTTGGAAGGTCTTGAGATTCACATAGCTTTTGGTTGAGTAGCTGCAATCTTTACAGGAGTTTCATCATCATAACTGCAGAAATTAGGGATGAAGATGGGAAGCTCCAATGCAAAACTGCTTGCAAGGATTTTGCTACTCTAAGGTAGAGGTACAACTAAGTATCGAATTCTCAAAAATTTGAACAAAAATATATCTCTGAAATCTCTTGTACATTCATAAAGAAGGTTATTTACAAAGCTATTTCAAACTGCGTCCTAACAAAGGAAGGTGGAAATCTGGAAGCAAATAGCCTACTTCGAAGTTTGGATTTCTCATTAAAACACAGAAATTGTGTGGCACTCTTCCACCATCCAGTGCACAATAGAATTTGGTAAATAACTAGAAATTAATAATAGTAACAAATTGAATCAATGATAAGCAGAATCAGACGGTGAAATTAATGATTAAATTTGAAAGATCTATGCACCTAGAAGACCGGTTATATAATGCAAAGCAATACTCTCTAAAAGGTATGTAGCATGGATATTGGTTTAACTTTTCTCCCACACTCATTTTCTTGTTGCCTTTCACCATTAGAAGCTATCTTAAAATTAACACCATGAGCGTCATCATAAATGCCCCGTTCTTCAACTACTTCACCATCATTAGCACAAATATGTGCATCTGAAAGAAGTAAATAAACAAAAGAAAGGATAAAATTAGCTAAGAGTCTTTAGAAAGAAAAGGTTAAGGGTCAAAATCACTCCAGCAATGTGAATTCCATATTGTAATGCATTAAGGTTGGTTTATAATCCATTAAATGCATATAAGAATGAATCAAGTTAGGCAATGACGTTCTACTTGTTCTACTTATGGTTAAGGAAATGAATTATTGAAACTCAGACTCAGAATTGAATTATTACATCTTTTGGTGGGAAACTGGATTTCTACTATGTAGAATCACAAACCCATATATCTGATAATGAACTTGCACCTCCCACGAGAATATGCAAATATCAGATAAAAGTAAAAATTGAACTTAGAAAAATTGTTCAGAATGAGACCATAGGCAATATAAGATAAAAGAAACTACAATGCATGTTATATTATTATGGTTGAAGATGAATCATAATATTAATTTTGAAGGTTAATTTAGGATCGAAATACAGATACAGGTAGAAAATGAAGATAGCGAAATCAATACTCACTACTTGGAGTTTATGACACCAAATCCTATGCCAAAATCCGAAATGATACTACTTAATAGATAGGAGCCTAGGACTCTTCCTGCCAGTTGCCAACCGATTGTGCCAAAATTGGGCAACATCGAAATTGAAATCCTGCATGTTTTTCATTTCAATGATTTTCCAACTTAGACAAAAAAAAAAAAAAAAAGAAGAAGAAGTTAATTTAAATATTCTAATACTGATTATCACAAATTAAACAACTCAATAAATTTATTAGAACCAACTCCTGAATTCTCAGAAATAACCATACCCAGAATGAACCCATTTAAGAAAATAAGAAATCCCTAAACAAACAAAGACTAGCCACCAAAAATCCTAACAGAAAAAAATCATTTCAGAAAATCTACAATAGATTTTGGAATCACCGAAATGGAACAAGAAATCTAAAAGGAGTTAAGAGTTAAAATCATAATAATTCATACATAGATAAAAGAGATTTGATTCCATATATAGTATCCAGGTTGGACTCAACTAGATCTCTTCCATCCGGTTTCAGAATCATAATAACAAGACTAGACTGGAGGAGAAAAGGAGAAAGAAGGGTTTTAGTAGCACATGCTATTCGGGGCCGCACGTGACTTACATGAACATGTCAAGTACAAATATAAACGGAATGTTGCCACTCATCTTGGCCTTCTGTTAGTGTCGCTACCATGGAATAGGAGGAATGTTGAATAAACCTGGAAATTTAAGTTGTCGATTTCTTACTCTGGATCATGATCGTTTACTGCCTTCGATCCAACCTCCAAGAATCAATGAAACAATAGAAATTGTTTCCTTCAATATAGATTGCAAATGATAGAAAAGAAATTGAAAGACAAATGAATAAATAAATAAAGGAGATAGTGCATAAGATGAAATCAACATTCTTAAAATTAAAAATTGAATACTTAATAAATCAACAGCTCTCTGTCAGTCATCATATGTATTTCAAGAAAGGATGAAGTAGGTTCTTATGATCCCACTCCACTGATTCCCACCATTCTTTTGACTTTTCATCTATCTCTATTTCTCTGAGACAAGGAGGAGGAGATGGTTGGCCATTATCAAGCAGGGGAAGCTGCACAGGGATCCTCTTTAACTCCCAACATCTCCATATTACAATTTGTTCAATAGAATCACAAACCATAACTCCTTTGGCACTATAGATGCTCTTCAATTGGGGTAAATTCCTCAAGAACAATCTCCTTAACTTGGGAAAAGTGAATTTATCCGCTGATGCATCTGAATCTGTTGATGCTATTATCTCCTCCATTTGTTCGGAGCTGTGAACATAAATCTCCTCTAAGTTTTGTAAGGCCTGCAGCAGCTCAAGTGGAAGCAACTTCCTCATTCCTGAACAAAACCACATACGAAGCCTTTTAAGATTGGAAAAGACGTGCGGTGGTGTTGTTACTCCTTCCACTCTCACAAGTACACTCAATTTAGGCAATCCATAAAGACAAAGCTCTTCAAGCTTATCCAGTACTAGACAGGAGGATGAGTCCAAGTCAACCACGCACTCCATATCTTCACAATCCCTAATACCACAGCAGTTCAACTTGGTTGTCTTTCCCAACAAAGCTGCTTTATTTAAGCTGCTTCTCATGTTTTCACCCTCATCAATCGCCAAATTCTGAAGGTTATCTGGAAGCACTATACATTCTTTTCCTAAGTCACATTTATTAATATAAACCAAAGAATTCTTTGGGTCAATTATGTCCATCATAATAGAGAATCCTGCTTCTCCTACTGCAATCTCATAATTAGTAAGAATTTGGAAATATTGAGACTTGACAAAATAATTGTAGCCTTGTATGTCATCGAATACACCTTTAAAAGTCTCCAACTTGCTCAATCTCACAACCTTTTCTCCTTTTATCTTCAAATCTCCATCAACTAACAAGTATTGGAGATGGGAAAGGTTTGATAACATTCCCATCTATGTTGTAAACACTTACCAACAAGGGAACAATTTCCTTGCGGTTCTCATCTATGTTGATGATTTAATCATTGCAGGAAATAATTCTACACTTTGCTAGCATTTGAAAGACTTTCTCAATTCTCAATTCCACATTAAGGATCTTGGAAGGTTGAAGCACTTCCTCGGCATTGAAATTGCTCACCATCCTTCAGGGATCTTTCTTTGCCAAAGAAAATACACCCTTGACATCTTATCCAAATCTGGGATGCTAGGTGCTAAACCTACTTCTTTTCCAATGAAGCAAAAGCTCAAGCTCATTCCTAACGGTGGCTTCTTACTCACAAACCCCATGCAATATACACAACTTGTTGGGCGACTCATATATTTGACTATTACTCGCCCAGAAATATCTTTTTCTGTTCACATACTTAGTCAATTCATGCAACCTCCAACCTAACTCCATCTTGATGCTGTAATGAGAATACTTCGCTACTTAAAGTCTTCGCTAGGGCAAGGCATTTTTTTATCTTCTTCAAGCTCATCACAACTCTTTGGCTTTTGTGATTCTGATTGGGCTAGTTGTGCCACCACCAGAAGATCCACAATTGGCTATGTCACAATGTTAGGGACGTCTCCAATTTCTTGGAAAACTAAGAAACAATCCACAATCTTTCGAAGCAGAGTATAGGACCATGGCTTCCACTGTTAGTGAACTTCTATGGCTCAAAGCCTTGTTGCACACTTTAGGAATTGATCATTCAAAGCATATGAAACTATATTGTGATAACCAAGCGGCCCTTCACATTGCATCAAATCCAATCTTCCATGAACGAACAAAGCACATTGAATTGGATTGTTACTTTATTTGTCATCAGATACAATCACGTGCAATCACTCCTTGTCATATTCCCTCCAAATCTCAACATGCAGATATATTTACAAAGGTTGTTGGAGGAGACCAATTTCAACTTCTTCTTTGCAAGTTGGGCATTTCAAATTGGCATGCTCCAACTTGAAGGAGGAGTGTTGGATTTCATTTAAATAGATTTATTTGATTAGTTGTCCAGTGATCAAGGCTAATCCCTTGAATCACGTCAATAGCATTTCTTCCCTTTATTTCTTTTACTGTTGCCAACAGTCATCTTCTCCCTTTCCTTTTATATTTTTCTTGCCGTTAGCATACTCTTGTATATACACCTGTATTCCATTCATTGAATAAATTGAGGGAAATGTTATCTTTTCACAATGTGGATGACATTTACACGGATTACTAAAGCATAATTCAGCTGTGAAATTAGTTGTTTAAGTTGCCATCACAGTGCCGATTGTAATTTATTTTCTATGTTTTAAAATAATAATTATTTTTAATTTTTTAAGTAAAAAGTT